TAGAAAAAAAAAAAAAGAAACGAAAGTGACACACTCAAAAGAGTGACAAAAAAAAAATGTTACAAATACTAAAAAAAAAAAAAAAAGTGATAATAAGAATGCAAAATATCATAATTTAAATACCATCATTGTCTATTTATCAATCCTTTACATTCACCTATCATTGTCTCTTCAAATGCATCCTTATTTCTACCTAAAAAAGGTAACACAAATTCAAAAAAAAGTGAGAAAATAAAGGAAAAAATGACACACATTCAAAGGAAAAAAAAAGTGACAAACAATAACAAGTGATACAAAATGGTGGCACAAGTTCAAAAAGGGACAAAAACTCAAAAAGTGACACAAATTCGAAAAAAGTGACACAAAATAAAAATAAAAAAAGTGACAAACGCTAAAAAACATTAGACAAACAAAAAGAAAATGGAAAAATAATTTCAATGTCCTTTCTCTTCAGCCCTATGCCTCCCACGCCAACCCCCTTTCTACCACGAACACCCCCACCCTCGCATTTTCACCGCCAACTTCCCCATTTCCCCACAGTTACCAGCCATTGCAATGGAAATGTAAGGACATAGTAGTATAAAATGAATTAGAACAAGAGTATGTTTTAAATTGAAACAGAGTAATCTTAATTGCAGCACTACAGAACAAACACAAAAAGAACACTATTCAGATTGAACCTAAACTTGCAATTGCATTGTATATGTATTACTAAAACTGAATTCTAAAACACATCATGTATTTATCTATGGATTTTGCTACATGTACCCGGACGTTTACACACCCCTCACATGGGGGCGAGTCCCACACATTTATTATGCGCGGGCCCTGCCCCCCATGTGAGGGGCGTGTAAACGCCCGGGCACAAATAGTATTTTTCTTTATCTATATGTATAGTGGGAAGACATCCTTTTGGCTAGAACTCAAAATTGAATAGAAAGTTCATAGACCATGAAATATGATAATTGTTAGTATATAATCGCAAAAGAAATTCTGGTTGGTAATAAGGCCACATGTCAAAGACCCATCTCCAAAACACCTAATTATTATTTTGCTGTGCAAAACTCGTCTCCGACATCGGATTCAAGCGAGGGAAAGGCATTTATAGTGAATGAGTAACCATCTTCTTGTTGCACAAGGTTCTTTCATCGAAGGTTTCGGCCAAAAGAGGATTTTGACTAGTTGATAGCGTTGGGAATCGGAGCTGCGACCAGTGACGAATCCAGAATTTTGAGTGAGCACAGGCGAACGTTAACCGTTGGCCTTAATAAAATATTAAAAATTAAATATAATAATTATTTTGAAAAAAAATTGAACATATATATTTTTGTTACATGTTATCAAGGATTACACCAAATGACATAGTGGCAGGGTTTCCTATAATTCAAAGGAAGGAACATTGGTTCGAATCCATTCAATTGCATTAAAACAACTAAAACAAAATATATATTATTCTGTTACACTTAGTATCACAATTCATTTAGTGTCATGGTGGCTAAGCTTTCAATAACATTCATGATATGTTACAGGTTCGAAACTCCTCTCCATTTGCATTAGTTTTAGTAAAAATTGAAGAACTATAAAAATTGTGCAATAAATTTGGTCAAAAAGAGACTCAAACCCTACAACACCAATTTGTAAGTAGAGGCTCTAACCAAATAAGCTGGTAGAGATGTTTAGAGCAAATTTGAATTATCAGATATATATAAAATATTTATCAACTACTATCAACAAAAAAAAAATTCTTGACGGATCCAGTTAGGGCGGCCATCCTAGCTCGCCACTACCTGGATCCTAGCTTGCCACTAGTTGAATCCGCCATTGGCTGCGACTCGATTGCAAATTGGAGTTGGCTGACGATGGCTTGCGGGATTTCGACACTAACTCGCTCCAACTATTCTAGCTTCAAATTCTAATCATCGTCTTCAATGTCCTATAACATACTTTCGATTAATTCAAATCCCTCAACATAAATTTCTGGGTATATAGATGAATTAGTGTTTATATGTGCACATGGAGTAGAGAATACGGGGAATTTCTTGTGCAGGGCAACAAGAAGAAAATAAATCGATTCAAATTTATATTTTATGATTAATGTGAAAGTGTAGTATTTTATACTTAAATAACTACTTTTAACATGATTTAAAAAAAAAAAAGAACTTATGTTTAGGGTATATAGTCTTATTTTCACTTTAATCAATAACCCAATCACCCAATAGCTCAATCCGGTCAATGTCGTGATCCGATCTAATAATAATGTTTTCTCCACAACTAAAGCTGGCTAAGAACTTCCTCCCAAACATGTTATATGTTTACTATAAATATAACATGTGAAAGAAATAATCAATTTAGATAAAGTGTCAAAGTGGTTGAAAATGTGGCATTTGTGTGGGACATCGGCGTTCGGGTTACTCCCCATGCAATTATTACAATTTTTTTATTTATTCTCGAAAATTATTTAATGGGTCATGTTGACCCCAGAATATGTCGCCAACAGATATCGGACCCACCCGCGCACACGTAAGCTTGGTCTAACATGCGAAGACACGTGGACGATCTCAAATGGATAGATTAAGGGTGTGAGAGCGGCTCAAAGGCGCAGGACGAGAACGTTCGGAATTCGACGATATGTTTGCATAACAATTGTACAATAATTACCAATCGATTTTTGTAGAATGTGTGTATGAATTAGTGTATGTTGCAAGAGAGTAGAATGTAAAAAATGTTGTATTTATTTTTGTATTGAATCTTGCACTACCCTTGTGGGAGATACATGGGGAGTATTTATAGTATTACAACTTCGATCGTGACCCTTAGTTGGGAGTACACGTGGTCTCATCTCGTAAGTTTACATGTTCAATTATAGGTGTCACATTTGGCTTTCTAGCCTGCTACACATTAATTAATTGACGACTCTGCCACTACATTGACAAGACAAGGACTTGCACTCTATGATGGGCGTCTCATCAATCACTCAGGAAGGATCCTTGTGTAAGACTGAATAGGGCTGGACAAAACTCCCGAACCGAACCGACCGAACCGAACCCGAACCGAACAGAACCGAACCCGACGGTTCTTCTCAAGTTAAATACCCGAACGGGTATTTGAATCAAGAACCGACGGGTATGGTTCGGTTCTCGGTTCTAGGCCAAGACCCGAAAAACCGAATAAGAACCGAATCTCCATAATTTTTTTAATTAATTTATTTTAAATAAGTAAAATTATTTTATTTTTTCTAAATAAATTTGTTAATTAGTTAATTTAGTTCAAACCACAAAATATGATTTTCCTCTTTCTAATATTCAATTCAAAATCGACTTAATCAAATTGACCTCAATTTTATCTAAATCTGTTATTCTACTGTAGTGTCGTTTCTATCGGAGAAAATCGAATTAAAACTCTACAACATCTCTCTTAATTATTTTGAGATCGCTTTATTTCTCTTTCTGTTATTTTAATAATCGAATTTATAAAGAATTCAGCAAAGAGAGACGTGAAACACATAAGATTGAACTACGTTATTTTGTAAGAGCTAATATTAAATATATCATTAATTAAATTAACATAATTTTGTATATATTAAAAATTTTAATTATAATACGGAACCGAATGGAACCGAACCGGACCGAACCGAACCGAATGGAACCGAACCCGAACGGTTCCGTAATTAAATTTGGACCCGACGGTTCCACTTACTAAATACCCGAAAATTTCGGGTCGGTTCGGTTCTTGTTAGAATCGAACCGAACCGGACCATGTCCAGCCCTAAGACTGAATCTCTGGGGAGCAGTGCTGCTTAGAGCCTCAGGACCTCGGAGAGAAGGGCCTCGGCTATGAGATCTCCTCGGCGGTGGTAGCACTTGGACCATGTCTGATTTTGTTATAGTATGCTGGTGAACCCTTGTTAGGATGGGGGCCTCGAATAAGATGCAACGTGGTTCGACAGAAGTGGGTCATGGGCCCTAGTGAGTCGGCCAAGTGTGTCAACATATAACAATGAAGTGGGCCATGGGCCCCAATGGGTCAGTCAAGTGTGTCAACACGTAACTGGTCAAACTAACCAGTATTTTGTGACATTTTTTTAACAACCCACTACTCACAAAGTCATTAAAATTTACATAGTTTTCTGATTATGGAGGAGACAGTTACATCTAGTTTGTCTATACAAACTCATATCTTGTTTTGGGAAAAACATACAAAAGAAAATAGAAAGTCATCTGAAACGAAATTTGATTATTCTGAATTTTTTTATACTCGAATTTTTACTTATATTCTGAAGTACAATTGAGAGTTCTGAGAATCCATTTGTGATTACTGCACGAGTGGTTTATGATCGTTGTATACTGAGAGTGATTGTCCACGAAAATCGCAGTAGTTATCGACGAGGAATTTCACTTTAGAACACCGTGCTGTCACGAGACTCGATTGGATGATAAGTTTTATTTTTGAAATTCACTGTTCTGCACGTTACTGCAACTGATTATTTTTCTAAAAAGACATACCCTAAATGAAAGTTTTAGTTCCGATAAACGTTCTTTACAAAAAGGGAGAAATGTAGTTGAGGTCTCTAACCTTTCAAATTATTTCAGATTATATTCAAACCATTTATTTTTGTAGTTGGGATCTCAAACATTTCATCTCTATTGCAATTGGAGGATATGTGGACGAAATTCATCCATTTGATTGTCAATTGACAAAATCAATGGTCTGATCGAACGGTTTATTATTTTTTTATTTTTATTTAAATTGTTTGATTATTTTATATGGAATAATTTTGTCATATCGTTGAATTAAATGGAGTCCATCTACATGTCCTTCAATTACACTGAGATAAAAGATTTGGACTCTAAGACAATAGTCTACACATGGATTTATATTATATGAGTTGGCAAGTTTTGATGCATTTATCTTAAGAGCACCTTTTTCAATCATTGACCAAATTATCGACGCAGAAAAATTGTCAATAAAGGTGTAGGCATTTGGGTGGACAAATAGTTTTATCCTGCAATAACATTCTGATTTCAATAAAACTGAAGACAGGATAATATATCATCACTTATTTCCAACTTCCACGTGCCCACTCGGTGAACGACCTTCCGTAATTTTCTGCGCAACACAAGGTGAATTCTCTTCCAGTTGTGCGCGCGCAACGTATTACGTTGGTTAATTCCTCGATTCAGATCGAAGGTTTCTGTTGAAATTTTTCATTCTTTTGAGTCTACGCTTTAGATTTCTTCACTACAATTTTCATCTGATTTCGTGTACTTTTCTTTAACTCATCCTATGCTTGAAAATCTATTTTGCGGTGAGCAGTGATAATTATGGTTTAGTTTATGCTGATAGCCATATCTGTATAAATTTACAGTATTATCATGCTAATATTTGCAATTTCGTTTTTTGACATTGATTTAGGGCATATTCCTGCGTTTTATCGATAAATTCAGTCAAATACACAAACGGAATATGGAAATCGGTTTTGTTTTCGTAAGTTGTGATTCACGGTGTATGAAAAATTCCAAGCTATTTAGTATATACACGAGGAAATAATGATGTGATAAGTATATAGAAGGGAGTGTAAGTGTTTATAAGTGCCCAAGTCTACCTTCAAAATCCACCGCTGTTTTCAGAATCACACGATGGTCCATTTTTGTAGTCAGGTGGCTTCATGGTACCAGCAGGGATACTCTTAAAAGGCTGCCTTCTCTGGTGTGTCATTACAAACATACTGGGTAGACTCACTCTTAAATGTAGGGGAGGGTGGCTAAAAGTGCTTATAAGAACACAATCTAGACTTAAACTTGGTGACATAGGACAATAGAGTCATTATAAATGCAAATGCATTCTGGCAATCGGTAGTCTACTACACCATACGTAGATGCTAATTTGCACACTAGATCCTCTTGGAGTTGTTACTTTCTTATTTCATTTTTCAAAGAATTGGAACTTAGTAGCATTTTCTTAGATTTAGGATTAATTTCAGTAGCCTAATTTTCAATCTTAGGTCAGATTCAGTTGTTCTTTACTGGGGAATATCCGCTTCCAAGGTGAAATTAAGAAATGAGTCGAAGAGGCTTGATTTATAGCTTTGTTGCGAAAGGAACTGTTGTTTTAGCAGAGCACACACCTTATTCTGGAAACTTTAGCACAATCGCTGTCCAGTGCTTGCAAAAGCTTCCTTCTAACAGCAACAAATACACATACTCCTGTGATGGCCATACCTTCAATTTTCTCATTGACAGTGGATTTGGTATTTACCCTTTCTTCAGACATGCTCACACATTTGCGCTATGTAATTATTAATGCTTAAATAAACCATGGCAACTAGTAGTAATTTATTTCTTGTGTAGTTTTCCTTGCCGTTGCGGACGAATCTATTGGAAGAGGTATACCTTTTGTTTTTCTTGAGAGAGTGAAGGATGACTTCAAACAACAATATGGTGACAGCATCAAGACCGATGGCTCTCACCCACTTGCTGATGATGAAGACGAAGATGATGATTTGTTTGAAGATCGGTTTAGCATCGCATACAATCTTGACCGAGAATTTGGGTGTGTGGTCAAGTGTTACTGAAGATGTTTTGATGAATTATATTTCTATGTATGCCAGAATTGTACTAGACTTGATATTATGTTTTGTTTACTAGGCCGAGGCTTAAAGAGCACATGCAATATTGTATGAATCATCCAGATGAAATGAGCAAGCTGTCCAAAGTGAAGGCTCAAATAACAGAGGTCAAAGGAATAATGATGGACAACATTGAGAAGGTAAATTTTATTCCACTGACTGTTTATTGAATTAAATAATGATTATTATCTTGCTGATCTTTGAAGAAATAAAACAAAAAATGAAATCTATATGCATTAAGTAATACTTATATCTCATCTAGTAATTGAAGGCTTTGCTTTTTCCACTCCTGTTTGTCTTTGTTATCTTTATTTCATTGCTGATTTGTTTCATGTATTATTGGTAAGAAACAAATACTCAATTTAGCTAAACGAGTAACGATTTTTGTCTAAGTTTATGATTTTACTGGTGAACGTGTTAGCTAAGGGAGTTCTAGTTATTCTTCAACCAGTTGTATCTAGCTACACTATGAAACCGGTCACAAATTCCCATTGTGAGGTCCAACTAGTTGCACTTTTTTGTCTTTCACTGTTTTTACTTTTTACATTTTATTTTTCCCCTCTCCCTCTCCCCCTCCTTCCCCCTCTCCCCTTTCTGCCATTTACAGTGATATGCATACACACTGCAGTTTCTAACTTCCTGTAGTATCTGTACAGCAATTTCTGCTTACGGCCAACTTCATACTCTCGTATTCTACAGCATTTTGGTTACCTTGGTAGGAGACAACCTCATTGTTTCCGTTCTGATTCCCACTCGTTCCCTCTCAGTAGCTTGTTCCTTTCTTTGTGTGGAGGGTCTCTCTCAACCTTTCTTAGTATGATAGATGATCTGTCTATGAGCTTCTGGGCATACGAGGCTTGACTGAATGCAAAGTGATGTTCTAATGAAGGTTACTTAGGTGCTATAGGATGCCCCCCTGGTAGGATTAGGCGAGCCCGCCTTGGCCCCATATGTGTTTATCTTTCTTGTTGAGTAAGCTGCCCTTTTTGGCTTGGGGATAAGTAAGAAAGGGGAAGGAATGAGAGATCAAGTTCATCCTCATAGCAAGAAAAAGGTGCGTAGCGCTTTTTCATTAGATTTTCTAGATGTGAAGTGAATGTCCATAGTTGATAGCCTGCCCCGGAGTTTAGTTTCGTGTGTCACCTTACCTCTTATTCCACAATGACACTTCTAATTTAAACCTCTCTCATTGAGTCATTGTTTAATTCATATTCTCTATAGGAAGATCTAAAACCAAAATTAAATGAGAGTAGTGATAATATCATTAAAATTATCTTCTTCCCAGGGATGGAACCATAAAATTGCGTTGGAGTGAGTTAAAATTTAAAAATTTCAAACAAGCTCATGTTGCAAGAGATCCGAATTTCACGAAAAAAGTGTCCGACTCAAGCAAGTGCAAGTCTAGACGCCAACTCCAGCATGTCCCACTAGATCTTCATAGATTTTCTAGCCAATTCTAATATTGACCCACCCTAGGGAACGTAAACTAACAGAAGTATGATAGGTAATTACTTACTAAAAATATGAATAAGTAATAGATGAAAACATAAGTAGAACCAAAAAATTACATAAGCTTAGTTAAACATGTGTCAAAATCAATAAACTGTACTTATAGACTTGTAAACGAACTTTTTAGACTTTTCCCATGTTTGTTTTTGATAAAAATTAGATTTCTAGTAGATTTTGATAAAATTTGATGAAATGTGTGGTTGAAAAGTTGATAAAAATTGTGAGTTCCAATAAATATGTGGTTGAAAATGAGTTTAAAAAAAACGAATGTTAAGAAATGGAGGCTAAACAAGGCCTTAGTCGAAATGCCTAGATATAATACCTAATTTTGTACCTAGCTTGTGGAGTAATATTCTGACTAAACTCGGGCAATCGGGCATTGGACATGGGTTTGGGCTGGGCTAATATAGATTTTTGGGCTGGACTAATGCTTAAAGATTTATTTTACAGTTTCTTTTTTGCATCTGAGCTGAGCCCAGGGCTGCCCCCCTCATCCCCCCATAACCATGTGCCTGCTCGTTCTCATTATGGATATCCATGATTTTGATTTAAACTTAGAACCAATTTTTTAAATTATTACGCGAGAGATTTTATTTCTTCAAAAATATGCAGGAGGAGCAATTACAACAAATAGCTGGGCTGGGTAGACTAGGGCCTACAGAATACTCCAAGTTACAATAGGATTCTTGAAACTTCTATTTATTTGTTTATTTGCTTTCTAAAGTTGGGACTTAGGAGAACGACCTAGATCCTAAATGGGTTAAATAGCTAATCAATTTTAAGTTCTATATTAACCTTTTTTTTTTTTTAAACTTTTAAAAGTTCTGTTTGGTTGAGTTCAGCAGCTGGACTGGACTCACTGCTCAGTTGTTGAGAACATCAGGACATACCTAGATATTTTACCGCTGAACTGAATTTCTAGAAAGCTAGTAAAATCGGATTGATTTTGAATCAACAGTTCTTAGACGTGCTATTATTGAGATAAATAGTTTGTCTGTGTTTGACTTTATTGAACTTAACAGAATACCAGTTAAAGCAGCCAATCAGCTACAATAAGCAGAACCACGCATGCTAAACTCAAAATAAATTAAATTGAGATGAACCCAGTATTTATACTATATTTCTGTTCACCCTGATTTCATTGGACACATTGGGTTGATGTTTATGTGTGCGCATTTATGCAAATGCATAATATTGATAATAGCATAACTAGGTATGAGCAGGAGATGAAGGACAATTAATTCATGACAATGTATTCTGTAGGAATGAACTTGACTCTGGAGCCTTCTGGTTGACTTGTATATTAGCATGCGCTCGTGTGTGTGTGTGTGTGTGTGTGTGAGTGAGTGAGAGAGAGAGTTTAAAGGGGACACAGGAAAACTGTAAACGTTAGTTACAATAATTGTGCTTGAATGTGAATTCCGAACATTAATGAACTAAGAAGGGGAAAGCCCTAGAATATCTGGCAGTAGTGGCAAATGGGCATTGCAGTGGATCCAATTGGGGATCCTAAATTAGCAGCTTTGATTTGTCTTACTGTGAGAACTCTTCTAGGCTGTTTTGATATCTTGTTTGCATTTTACCAATTAGTTACTGGTTCTCATTTCCATCACGATTGGAAATGGGGAACTGCAGTATATTTGGTAAAATTACAATGGCTATTTGAGTTTGAGAATCCAACTTATGGCAGATTAATGTTACGAGAAAACTTAAAATGAGATTATCATAACATAATTTTTTTTCTTTTCTTATTTTGGAATTGGAGATTGAAAATGAAATATGTTTGAATATTACCCTCAAGGCAGAATAAGCCCCCGTTTGGCCCCTTTTTCTTTCAATTTTTTCTTCTTACTCTTATTTTAAACCACACAATCTTTTATAAAATAATATTACACGTATACCTAAAACTTTTCCTATGTTTTCAACCAAGAAAAAAGAAAAAGAAATACTCTATACATTAAAAATTGAAAGAAAGCGGGCCAAATGGAGGCTAATTATGCTTTCAGTGGGCGCGTCGTGCCAAATGGACATTGGACAGTTAAGAGATACAGAATTTGGAGATGGTTTATTTTGTTTTGAGTCTAGCATACATATGAAGTAGATATGCTGCCAATAATCTTGTAAGATTAGCATCTTAGAACCTAAAATTTGATTTTTATTAAGGTATTGAATAATTTCATCATATTATCTCTATTAATTTAAGGCAACAGCAATGTTATCAATGCATCTGGTTCTGTAAGCTTTTAAATATTCCCGGTTTAAACATTTTCTGTGCGGCGTGCATTTTAAGACACTTGGTGCTCCTACAGGTTTTGGATCGGGGTGAGAAAATTGAATTGCTGGTAGATAAAACTGAAAACCTTCAGTTCCAGGTAAATACTTCCCCTTTTGCTCTGTGCCCAAAGAAAGAAGACACTTGTTATTCATGTCATCTTGCTTGTGGATAATTGCTCAGGCAGACAATTTTCAAAGGCACGGGAGGCAGTTACGTCGGAAGATGTGGTTGCAAAGTCTCCAAATGAAGCTGATGATTGGGGGAGCTATTCTTATCCTAATATGCATCATCTGGTTTATAGCTCGTTGAGGCTTCAAATGGTGATGGTTCTGGAATTATATTGCAAACAGAAACTAGGAATAAATGTTCTTGTATATTTGTTGTTACTGAAACGTTATCCCTGATAAGTGTCATTGACATCGTCAAGATTTTGAGGCTCTTTAGTTCTATTCAGATCGTGGATGAATGGAATTATGGAATTTAAAAGTAAAAATGTATTAGTATTTGTACGTGGTGTTTTATTTACATACAGGTGAAGAAACTTTCATGACCAAAGACAAGAGAATTTGCTTTAAACAAGAAACTATAATAGAGAAGATAATTTTCTAGAGTTATTCTAATTTTCAATGCTTAAAAACAAGTTTCAAATGACTTTCTATTTTAACTTTATTAAGTGTGTTTTGCTGTCAAAATAATTTGGAGAGTTAAACTCACTCTATATTTTTACTTTATGATGATTATACTAAACCCTTGTTTGAATTTCATTATATAAAATACTCATTGTTTCTCATTATTTTCAACCATACAATCTTCTAGTAAAATAATTTTATACACGCACTCAAATTTTTTTTATATCTTATTAACATACGATCTCCAAAAAATTACTATTGCAAAATATATTCTTCAAAAAAATAAGGTCAGACACACCCTTAACTAGCTAAATATACCAATAGTTTAGTTTTTACATTATTCAAATAATTGAATTGATTGGTCATTGATATACCAAAAATATGCAAAAGAAAATATAAAAAGAATCAATAAATGTTTCGAGAAAAAATAAACAAAAAACCAAAATAAATGGCATTGTTGTAGTGTATAAAAAATTTAACTTTTTAAATATAAAGATGTTCATTATTATGCACAAGATGATCTTTGTAAATAAAGATTATTTTGAAAATGCTCTAACAATATTCTCGGTTTTAACTCTTCATTTTGATTTTTAAAATATTTATTGATTTATCATATTTTATTTAACATATTTTTTAATATGTCAATGACATATCAATTCAAATATGATTCGATTACTTTAAAGAGTAGAGTATTGCAATTTGTAACTTACTAAGTCCTTTGTCTAAGCGACGTTCTTAAAAAAATAATAATAAAATAAATAAATAAATATTTTCAACTACATATTCTTTTAATAAAATACTTTTACATGTAAATTGACCTTTTTTCATACTTTGTAATGGTACATTCCAAAAAAATTCACTATTAAAAAATCCATAATCTGAAAAAGAATTACGCTAATTGTACATTTTTGAATGACATTGTGTGATGTGTGAAAAATTGTGCCGTTGATTTGAGTAAGTAGTGGACTTGAACCATTGACATCTGCTGCAAGGTCCAACGCCTCTTATGCCCCCCCCCCCAACGACTGACTCTACCATAGAGGCCGTTGATCAGTTAAAATTAAAAACATTTATTCGAGTGGACCCCACACCCCATGTGAGGGGGATGTACACCCTTAGATACATTCTATTATGTACCACTAGCATTTTTCATGCACGATTAAATGGACAATGTCAAGATGACGTGACAAAAATTAAAGTGAAGAATGCCAAGATAACTGTCTACATATAGAAAAGCAATTGGAGTGAGAAAGTAAAAGAAAAAGAAAAAGGGCAAAGGATGGTTTTCTCTATCTTATAATAATTAATTTTGGATCATGCTTGGTGTTCACTAAAGTGTGTAAACTTGTGCTTATACTTAGTTACATGGCAAACTATAATTTGATTGTTAAAAAATTTATTTTTTTATTCAATTACTTTTTAATAACAATGTGAATGTCAACAAGAGTGTACAAATTGGATGTACAAATGACAAAGTCCTTAATTTTGAGTAGCGTTTTCAAAATTCATACAAAATAATACTTTTAATTTATAATGTCTCAACGGCTCAAAAGTTAATGTACCAGCATCTTAGATAGGAACATGAAAAATGATAGAAGTACGCCCAAACAACAAAAATTCGAGGCAGATTGATCATTCTAGAAATAAAGATATATTGTGTTAGACATGATATTTTACCAGCATCTTAGCCCTCGCCTGATAGCAATTTTTTACCAAAAAAAAAAAAAAATCAATTTTTTTATTGTTAGTTTATTATTTCAACCGTCATTTTTTACTTCTTCACTTACAAGTGAGACATAATTTTCTCTTTAACAATCAAAAAATCAATTCTCATAATCACTGTTAAACTAACCCTAATATTTTGTCCTTATAATCTAACAATATAAGTTATAGTGAATTTCTAAATGGGATGATTTGACTCGGCTTGCCATGAATATAGGTGGTACCAAATTTAGCCCCTGTTTGGCCCCCATTACGGGGAAAATTTAATGTATAGAATAGTATTTTTTGAAAAATGAGTGGTTGAAAAAGAAAGAAAAATTTTCGATTTACGTGTAATATTATTTTATGGAAGATTGTGTGGTTGAAAATAGAAGAGAGAAAAATAGAATGTAATGTAATGAAAATCAAACAAGGGTTTAAAGCCCTTTTGCCCCTATTTTCAAAATCTCATTTTTTTCAAAGTTATTAATCTCATATTCTTCAATAAATTAATTTTTCACATGCATCCATAATTTTCACTATTTTTTAATTACACTTTCTCCAAAAAATTATTTTTCATAAAATCTCAAAATTTCTACCAAAAAGGGACTCAGCAGACATCAATATAGCCGTGTTTTGACCTTTTGGGTTTTTAAAAAAGCGAAAAATTTGTGGAGCAAGTGATATTTTTGTTATTATTAGTCTCCGTTTGGCTCCTATTTATTGAAAATAAAAATAGGAGGAATAGTATTTTTTAAAAAATAAATAGTTGAAAAAGAAGAATTTTTTTTAATTTATGTATAATATTATTTTATGAAAGATTGTGTAGTTAAAAAAAGAATTGAGAAAAATAGAATGCAATAAAGGGGAATTTAAGGGGGCGGGGGAAACGGGGACTTAGCGGCCAATTAACAAAAGTTCCCCAAAACGCACGCAGCCATCTTCCTAGCAAGTAGCCAAGCCCCTCTTTTGGCGGGAACAGGGAGCCTGAGCGAAAAAAAATACCTCCAATGGAATCGGAGACGGCACTGCCGAAATGGGCATCGAAGCCTTGCATAATGGGCATTGATGAAGCTGGTCGTGGTCCTGTTTTAGGTATACACTGATTCAGTACTTGATTGAAGTTTGACATCTGTATTTTTCCCCTTTCTATAAATACAAATTTATGTTTTACAGGACCAATGGTCTATGGGTGCTTGTACTGTGCTCGCTCCTACCAGAAAACTCTATCCACACTCAAATTTGCAGGTACAAACTTTAAGGCTTGTTTAAATTTTCCCTTTTTTACCCATTTGTGAGATCGGTGTTTTCTTAGCTTTTATCAAATTTTCTGAAGATGTCTTGAATTTTAACTATGATTAAAAGGGTATTAATTCCTGCTATGTTTAGGCGTAATATATCTCGGTAACGAGTTAAGAACAACGGGAATAAACTGAAAGTAGATCACAGAAAATTATAAAATTAGGTAGATAATAAACTTAAATGAATAAGAGGAGAACTGAGGTTAGCTCAAAGAAAATCTGCTTGAACAACATCTCGCACAATTGAACAAGTCATCGACACACTAGGAGGTACAACGACATAACACCGACACATCTTCGACTCGAGTCCAAAACCTCAGGTGGCATATCCGAGTTATTTTTTGGCTTTTTACTTAGAACATATTGTACGACAAGCTAGAAGGTACATTGTTGACAAGCTTGAATTTAATAAAAAAATCTATACATTGTGAATAATAAAAAATGAAAAATTAATATAATTATAATTAGCATATCGGGACGTGTCGTGTTGATACTCTTTTCAAATAATGCGTGTCAACGAATCCGTGTCGTGTCATGTCTGACACTTGTGTCTGTGTCCGCATCGGTGCTTCATAGGATATCATATTTGCATCACATTTGAAAACCTAGAGTTAGCTAATTTCCTTTTCTTGGTTTTTTTGGAGTTTAAATGGGATAAAGCTTTCATTTTCTTGTGGTCTATGCTGTTGGATAATGTACCCAAGAGCACTTTGATCCTTCAATTCTCATATTTAAATTTTTTATAACTGGCCATTGGCTCGTAACATTGCCAATTGATTTATCAGATATAAAAAAATTTCGACTAAATGAAATCTCTACACTTCTTTGTTTGCAGATTCAAAGACGTTAAAAGAAGAAAAGAGGGAAGAGTTGTTTGAGAATTTGAAGGCTGACGAATCAATCGGATGGGCTGTTGATGTGATAGACCCAAGAGAGCTCTCATCCAAAATGTTGAAGAAGTTAGTATTAAAATTTTGCTGTTCTTTACATGCTCCAATGGAGCAGCTTGATTGCATGACTTTACCTGTTTGATTCTTTACAGAAATAAGATAAACCTTAATGAAATATCACACGATTCTGCCATGGGCCTCATTAGAAAGGTGTTGAGCATAGGCATTCTTCTTACTGAGGTAAAAGTTTATTATTTATATCTAATGAATGCTTTTAAAATGATGACAATGGTGATAATCATCGAGGAAATGCCATACTGAGTTTAGGAACAGAATAAACATAGAAGTTTCTACAATCAACTCCATAGCAAACCAACAGAAATGCAATCCTCTCAATCAAAGATTCAGTAAATTTTTTTTTTTTTTTTTTGGTTGTCTGTTTAGAATTTTGTTTTTGAAAATTACATTTAGCTCTTGGGGCAAATTTTCAGGGTTTTTAGATTGCGAAGGCTCATGTTCAATTCCCACTAGTACATGGACCGTATAATTTTGTTAACCCAAACTTCGTTGCTCAGTGCTTATTTGGTTTAAATTATATTCTCATTACAATTTAAAGATTAAAGTCAAAATTTAATTTTAACCGCATACCACTACTACTACCCACTTATCCACCACTCATTTCTATCAATTTTCCATTTCAGCAACGCAAAGTTTCTCCCAAACAAGCACGTATTTGTTGTATTTGGCTAATTTTTCATATTTAGAGGATAGTATGTTACACAGCTGACCTACTCTACATGCTTTATCTGTCATTGTCGTAAAAATAATGAAGAACGGGCAAAAAAAAATGTGGACAAGCATAGATCAAAAAGCTGTAAACAGATTAACATACTCTGTATACCAGGTCTATGTGGATACAGTTGGAGATGCTGAAAAGTATAAAGTAAAACTGTCTGAGAGATTTCCAAATATTAAATTTGTGGTTGCAAAGAAAGCTGACAGTCTTTACCCTGTTGTAAGTGGTGCAAGTATTGTTGCAAAGGTGACTCTTTGTACTTTCTTTTTATGTTGGTTCTTCAGGTTCCTCTATGGTCATATTTTTCTGGATGGTTTGAGGGTCACAATTGTTCTTTCTTTCAGGTCACAAGAGACAGAGCTTTGCGGGATTGGGTGCTTGATGAAACTGCTGCAAACATGCATACAACTTTTGGATCTGGATATCCCGGAGGTAATTCTTTCATTAATTTTTGTTGATTTAGAATATTATGTAGTCAATATATCTTCTCAATATGTAAATTTACATTGATTTCTTGCAGATCCACAGACAAAGGCCTGGTTGGAAGATCATAAACACTCAATCTTCGGATTCCCAACACTGGTGCGCTTCAGTTGGGGAACATGTACATCATATTCCAAAGACATGGTCGAAGTGTTATGGTTAGTCTCTGAAGGAACATAGGATGCCAAATATCTATGCTGCCACTGTAATAATGGCTTGATAGGCTTCTCAAAGTATTTTACAGTGCTTACATCAAAACTTAATAGATCTCCTTTTGATAGGGAAACTGATGACGCTGATGAGGATGGTAGCGATGGAAGAACTGGGAAACGACAATTGAAACTAACTAATGTTGGTTTCACTCCAGTGAAGAGAAAAAGTGAAGAAACTGAATCAAGTGGGAAAGGTCGTTGCAAATTTTTCCAAGCTCGTAAACTTGAGCTACTCTCCCATTTCTGAAGGCAAGTTTTACTTATTACAATGGGTATGATTATTTGTCTGCCTTTAAACCTATCTTTCTTTATCGTTTCTTCCATTATACTAACATAGAAAATACATTTATATGTCGATTATTTGCCTTCATCTGATGACATATATTTATCAGCGAGCGATAATGGGAAAATAAAAAAGAATGCATTTAGTGTAATAAACTAGTGATTAGCAACCGGTTTTAAAAGAGAATCTTTTTGAACAATTTGAAGGTGTCTTGGTGCATTTTCTTTTTGATTTGAACGAGGTAGAAAATTATCCTACTTATTGAAGGTTTTCGGGCAATGAATATGTTGTCTATGGTGCGTCAACTTTTAGCCGAAGTTCTGTTGAGGATGCAGTGTTTGACCCTTGTTTAGCTGGTTTAAATATGAATAATGGTGTAATGATTGAAGTTGTGCAGAAGTTAAATTTTAACACAAGCCTGAAGTCGAAGAATTATGCTCTTGCCAATTAATGTTTGTTTGGCAAAATTTATAAATCATTTATAAATGTCCTAACTTCATTTTCAATCGAGCAATTCACAAGTAATATCCACTTATCCACCACTCGTTTATATATATTTATAAGTTTTTTCCAAACAGAAGGTTTGTGTTTCCCCTACATAAGATGACGTAAATATCCAAATATCATTTAGATGAATGCATGCTTATTTTCCGGCTGAAGAGCAGTCTGAGGTTTGTTTAATACTATTGAGCAATGTCCTGCATTCCAAAGGAAGACAAATATCAAAATGGTGGAGATACAGCTGCATTGCTTGTTTACTTATTTTTCCAACTCGTTGAAGAGTTTGCATAATTTTTTATCTTTGAAATTATAGGTAGCATATGATGAAGAGGCTTCGAGAGGATAAAATTTGAGCCAGTATCATCCTTAAACTATGAAGCAAGTTCAGAAAATATCAATATGAATAACTTGGAAAGAATCTCTAACTCTAGGATTTGATTACCAGGAAGTAAGCTATTCGACCATCACCGAGTGGCTCAGATTTTAATGCTTGTGGTCGATGTCTTTCAGGTAATGAAGATAATCCGTGGATTGTATTATTTCTCACCTTAAATAATATGATGTTTTTGTATAGTTGGAAATGGCATGAATAGAGCCGAATGTATCAAACCTTGTGTGTGCTACTACTGTTTTTCCTTGACTCTTTGATGGCTACATTTATAATACCTAGTGTTATTACCAATTTTTGTGTCCTCGAGCTATTGCGTTGAGGACCATATTCTTCATGCTTTCACCTTCTCATCGTCGGGGATCATTATTCATGTGCATTTTTGCATACTTTTGTTGAGATTCTCATGCTCATTCTCAATCGTGGAGATTCTGTTTGTGCTAATCCTCGGTCGTTGAGTTCGAAATCAACAGGTATGGATTTTTGGTAGCATCACCTAGTAAACTGTTTTTAAATCTTTATTGATCCAAAGAGACATGAGATACCTTGGTGCAATTTCAACACAGATAGAGATGGTATGAGTTGAGCTCTTGTTTTTAAGTGTATGTTCGACTTTTGCAAAAATTGCAACACAGCTAACCAAGGACATATATTACACTCGGTTTGACTTGGCACAACGTAGGCCCATGGACCCAATTGTTCCAAATAAACCCACCGTTAGGGTAAGAAAAAAGACCAAGACGACCTAGCTGAAGAAGTCAAAGCAGATGTTGAGATCTCTCACTAGTCACAAGAAGGTTGAGTTTGATAGGCCAAAGCTTGTGCTCAACTATCAAAAGAGTTGCTAAGATCGAAGGTTGAGCTAAAACCATCCAAAGGTCGAGATTGAGAGGCTAAAGTAAATGCTAAGGAAATGTACTACCACACATGTACATAAAAGAACTCAAACAGAGGCACGCTCCACTAGAAATCTTGTTATTTGTTTTAAACGTGTTAAACACACAAGATAATGTTGTTTTGAGAAGTAGAAAACATAATTTTACCATCAAAAGAAATAAACTTATACCAAGGAAATAGATACAAGAACATGTATGATTTATAGATGTTCGTTTCAATGTGAGATAATGTCGTTTTCAGTTCATGTAAAGTTCTGTCTCAATGTGAGATATCGTTTTCAGTTGATGTAGTGATTCACGATGACGAAAAGTTTATAACAGAAAGTCGTACACCCTATCTTATCTAACTCCCCTCTCGTTGATGGCAATAAATTTTTTTAATGATGATTCCCTATTTATAAGATAAATAAAGACAAAATGAAAATTGGGATGGCTACTTAACGTGTTACGCCTATCAAATGTCAAGAATATCACTATCAATATAAAACTTGACTTCCAACTGATCTTTATTTGCAAGTTCTTGGCAGATTTCAGACTCCAACGCTGGAGAATTGGACGTATGATCGGGTTTAGAAAGTAATACGTTGTCATAAATGAATGAACATGAATCATACTGTCATTATCATATGGATTCCCTGTACCATTTTTCAAACTTCAATTCTGTCCATCCCACTTTGAAAATTCTTCCTCCGTGACTATATGTATATCGATGGAAGGATATAGATACGTATGGCTTCAGAATCCATCGATGTTCTTGACCACCAAAGCTTTTCACATGAAAATCTTATGTCAGATTCTCCAAAAAACCTGTTTGATCTCCCACCTGACTCATTTTGGGTCACCAAAGACAACGAACAAGATTGGTTTAATCGCAATGCAATGATGCAACGTAAAACCTCCATTAAACTCGGTTTTCTTGCTGGTTCAATTCGAAACTCCACGTCATTTTCTCATCGATCTTCACTCTCTTCCAACCTAAAATACAGACCATCTCTCATTGGACTCCCCCGTACTATTCAATCACCTCGATTGGGCATAGCTGGAGATGTTAGTCGACTGCCAAACCATGTGAGACGTTCTTCGTTGTTCAGAAGCCGGTCTGAACCGGGAGGTAAGCCACCAATGCAGCTCTCTGAACCGGGTTCTCCTAGGGTATCTTGTATTGGAAAGGTTGGATTGAAGGATGACGGTCATAGGAAAACCGGCATCTTGCGGTTTTTCAATTCGATTTTTCGCTACTGGTCGAAAGGGCAAATCGCATGTGGATTTGAGATAAAGAATGGACCGGCCAGTAAGGTAGAACCGAAACGGTCCGTCTAAGGTATGTGGTCAGAATAATAAGGCGGAAATAAAAAAAGGATTATTATATCGAACACGTGTTAATTTTATCCATTATTCTTCTGATTTGTTTAAGCATAATGGACGAGTTCGTAATTTGAATATGAAAGGAATGGGACCTTCCAATGATCCATTTTTCTATATATAATCTTATCATATATGCCGACGAGAATTGATGTGGTATATCATTTTATATGTATGAAAAATTCCTGAAAGAAGGCTCAAAAAGTTGATATAGGTACTTCCAGAAAATGCATGGTATTAGGAAGTATATTTTATACTTGTTTCGCGCGAGTTGTCGCTAACAATTAAAAAGGGATCAGACGATTGTGTAAGGAACAAACCTCTTGAAACAAAGTCCCAAATATAGGGGTGTTTTATTGGCGATGACTTTATAATTGGAATTTAAACAGAATGCCTCCAAGGAGCGCAAGCACTCGAGTACTGAAAAGAAATGTTTTAAGTCTAAACTAAGGAATTGAAATTACATATTCTCTGTTTGAGAGTGTTTGATTCGGGGTCCTTTGCTCTATATTTTTTCTTCCTTTTATATTCCTTTGATGATCTCTTCGTGATCAACCGCTTAATTGCTTTATAACTGCCCACTTTTTTCGTAGTGGCCAACTTATCGTGGAACTGCCGTCTCTAACTGCCGTCATTACTTTTTGTCGTTCAACCGTCTTCAACTGAACATCCTTGAATCGTGGAACGTGATAAGATTATTTAATAACTACTTCGATAACTGCACTTTTGGATAACCATAATATCTTATGTTTGCTAAGATCCTGGGCGATTCGAAGGTTTGGGTAAGAACAGGGTCATAACTTTGAGCGACTACAAGGCATTTCATTCCCTCATATCTTGGGCGTCTTGCAAGTTTGGGCGATAGTGTTATCGCGTTCGTGGGCTTCCACTGCATTCATTGATAACCCTATTCGAGCCTTTATCCTGAATTACTCAGTTGGGCTTCATTCTTTGAGCTATTCGATTTAAGCTGCACTTTTAGCGTGTCAACAATACTCAATTTATTTGTAATTTTGTTCTCGAAGTTAACAACAAATTTTCTATAAAGACGTCAAAAACTTGTTAATTTTATTATCTCACAAGTATATGAATAGTAAGCGTTATGAATACTTAATTTGAAGTATATGAATAGTAAGCGTTATGAATACTTAATTTGATAATTTGACAACTTTTATTTAACTTGAAAGATCAACCTTCCTAATATATCTTCTTATCTATTTCGAGTCGAATTAGATCGTCTTCACGTATGATTCGTTAATAATATTCATTAAATACAAGAACATATATTTAGATCATGCAAAGTATAAACAATTTTCCCTATAGTCTATATGACCTCATGATGATTGTTATTACATAATGTTTATTTTTATTCCTTATTTTGAACAACAACAGCAATCACACATTAATTTAATCAGTGGTCAATTAGTTGAAAACATTAAGGTCATAATAAGCATTCAAACAAAACAAACATCTAGCGTCAAAATATAGAATTTAATATAAAGACTTCAAGACATTGGATTCAATATTATCGTAGCATCTATATTTAATAGCCAAGAATCATAATATTTCAATAACACCAATTAAATAGATAGAACATCATCCATAACTAAAGACTAAAAAGAACGATGTAAAATATTCTTGAATCTTGATTTCGTCCGATGGTTCTTGATTTTTCTCATTCGATCTTTTTGTTCTTCAAGCATTGTGTATGAAATAAGTAGGAATATGTGTCTTGTAATGAAAGTTTCTTCAAAGCTTGACAATTCAAATAATATGGAATTTTGTATCAATGGACTCTCTTCTAATCTATGGAATACGTGCACAAAAGCCTCCTGCTTATAATTTTGGGCCAATATCATGTTGGTCCCTCAATTCTTCTCTGGCTTCTGCTTTGGTCATTTTTTTATTTTCAACTTTAGTCCTTCATCTTTACATTTTCATAATTGAATCATCATCATTCCTCAATCATCCGTAATTGATCTGATCCAAGTTTCCAATTACATCCCTAAACTTTTCAAATATTAGATTTAGCTCCCAAAACTTGTGAATCACCTCTGATTGGCCCATTAATGTTTCTGATTGATTAATTACTATCCGATTGGCCTTCAATTGCATCAAATCATCTCAAATTTAGCTCCAAAAATGTATTTTTCATCCCAATTGCATCCAAAATACATTCAAATTTGGGATTTACCTACAATTAATGTATTTACACCTAAACTAGTAGATATCATTGTAATTACCAATAAATAAGCAAGTATAAAGTCCTCAAATAAAGTGCATAATATGCACTTATCAACTCCATTCTTGACTACGCCGTACATGTGCCCATGTTTGATTTAGCTAAAAGAGTCGATAAAAAAAATATTTTAACCACATATTTCGCATATTATATGGAATCCACAACATTTCATTAAGTTTAATTAAAATATTCCAAAAACCAAAATTTTATCAAGACCAAAGATAGGCGAAATGAATTCTCCAGGTGCGAGTAGGAGTTTACAACTTTCATGATCATTAGCAGAGCTATTAAATTTGAAGTAGATAGTTTTAACAAAATAGGCATACAAATTTGTGTCATCCAACAACCATTCTAATTGGCGATCAAGCATGACGGCGTTTAATTTGATGTTGCCTCTAGTTTGGTGCCTGTCCAATTCGCAAACCTATTTATATTCATCAAATTGGACAGAGAAGTAGGCCTCTTATTTTAGGTGACACCACTGAATTGTTCATAGATATTCGATATGAGACCTTAAGTTAGAT